GCATAAATCACATTGTGAAACAAGACAGACTCCTCAGATTCATTAATGGAAATGATCTGTCAATATGCTGGAGTCAATTCACACGTGTCAGCTGGGCTCAGCTCACAATGGGCCAGCCAACTTATGAACTCCCTGCACCACTCCAGAGAGTCCATAAAACAACTGGCAACGCCGCTGGGGAGCACCCCGAGACACCGCCCTCTTGCAAAGACCACCAGATGACACAGATGGGGCAAAGCCAAACAAAGACGAGACTCCCTTTGTACGAAGAGGGACCCCTTTCAAAAGCCATTCATGCAACAAATTGGGCAAAGCTGGCCATGCAGCTCTTCGAGTTTGCTCTTTTATTAGCGTGTCCTTACGTCACAGTAAGTGAAATCAGATTTATGGCTCTCTGTTGCAAAGGTGGTTCGAAATCAAACAGACTTTTATGGAAAGCAACAAAAAAAGCTTCTGAAGTGCCCCTCACAATGCATTACAATAACTATACCCTGGTCTTCTAGATTTGACAGATTTTTGGAGCATCAGCGTTTCCCCCCTCCCAACATTAAATTTGTTTTTTCATATCCTCTTGCTGAATTTAAAAATACAAAAAAAAAAAAAAAATCCAGCTCCTTCTAGTGATTAACTACTATAGAGAGAAGTGCTGGTGCTTTAAACAGCACCAAGCTTCAATATTTTCAAAGGCAGCACATCCATTAAAGAGGTTTACTTCCATGTAGGTCATTAAATATGTGCAGACAAGCTTTTGCTTGTTAGGCCGTTTGCATTTTCTTTTCTTCTTCCCCTCTCAGCTGCACACTGGTGCTGCTGCAGCAATCTGCATAGAGAGACATTTGTCATCATTAGCCTTGCTCTGACAGTTGGCACCCTGCACCTCAGATCTCCAAGACTGGCAATTATGAACCCTTCATCCCTTATTTAGGCAGCATCACCTAATTTTAACACAGGCATTTTCAACAGTATTTTATTAGCAAGAGTCACAAACAAACACAATTCCTTCATTTGTTGCCTTAGCCAAGTTATATTTCTATAACAGCATGAAGAGGACTGTGCAGGAAATCTGAGATTAAAATATCAGGAACAAGTGCTGCAGGGAGCTCAGATGAGCATCATGGGGTCAGTAGGCAGATGATTATAGCACCCACATCTTACAAGAATGAAGATTCATTGCATTGTGTCTGCTGCATTGTTGCTTTAAACGATGAACGTTGTTAAATAATGGCAAAAATGAACTAAAAAGATAAAAACAGATAAAGAAATAAAACGGTTACCAAAGCTGGGTGTATCTTTCAAATTATCTTTCTAGTTTTATGGATTAAAAAAGTTAGAAAGGAATAAAATATGTCAAAAAACAAGATGCTAAACAGTGGGAAGCACACCAGTGCCCTGCAAACTAAACAAGCTGTTCTGGGAGGGAATTCTGCTTGTGGGATAAATCCAGACATTTTCTGGATTGTTACTTTGACAAACAAAACTGAATTGTGTTGATGCTAAATTCATGCAAATACATTCATGTAATTTATCACAGAGGCTGACAAGCGTACCATATTGCAGAGGGGAGGGGGTGAAGGGCCAAATGAAAATGAGACAATCAAATTTCATAATTTGTACTTTTTTTAAATTTCTCTCTCTATAAAACGGTGTCTAAAGTCAAAACGTGTAAAACGGCCCCCATGTCCCTGCTGCGTGATCCAGCTTCACGACTTATCCAAATGAGGTTGCTGAAACTCGGCGGAGAAGAAAATAAATGAATGAACATAAACCCGAAGGGGGTCCACAGTGAGGCTCCAGGCCCCCCAAATTAGCTGGCCTCCTACAGAGATGCCATATTGCGCGGAATAATAATGTTCCATTAATAAAAATCTCAGCGACAATTTCATTTGAAGGCAAACAAAATTACAGGATATGTGTCAAAGTGAGTGGTTATCCCAGGAGTGTGTTTTTTCACACACACTGAGGGCCACTGATGTCACATTTCTAAAGTGTCACTCTTTTAAATCTGATTTATACAGACATGTGCCATCTGATTATTCCCACTCGGACTAATCTGCACACTCCAACCCCACAAATTTGATGGGTAAAAGGCACATGGCTGACTTTATTTGTCATTGTGTAATAGGATTAACAAAATGATGAAATTTCTTTCAGGATTACACCACCATGACACTCGAATTTTAATTATCATCTGTAATTATGGGATTGCTGACCAAAGATAACTTGATCCAGATTAAGAATGCGTTGGCTTCACAACATGTCAGATCTTCTTTTAAAAAGAAAATTGAAAATTAACTCAAATTAAAAGATACATGTGGAAAAAAAGAACCAGGTAAACATCATCCTTCTGATTTTTCTTGCACACATCTGCTTATGATGGAACGCCTTTATCGCAACAAAATAGTTCGTATGAGTATCGGCAACAAGAACTTTGTGGGAAGAAAAAAGGAGGGGAATGAAAAAAAAAGAATGAGAAAACCGAATAAGCGTATAGGAATGCTCTGCAAACAAAGAGGCCTTCAAACCAGGGTCACATGGTCATGCAAAATTAGAGGAAGTAGAATGTATTGATTTACACATCCATGCGTGTATTTTGCTGGTTCAGACATAGGCTTGAGCTGGAATCCCATACATCATGGAGGAGTTCCAATAACCTGGCAGGAGGGTAACGCAGAGCCACAAGAATCAGAACGCTGAAACGGTGGAGATGTGAGTCTGGATCGTCTCTGGCTGGACCTGACAACCGCTGGAGCCATGGGACTGTAGAGCAGGTTGAGTTACGGTGGGATCTGTGCAGCCACATGCTTTAGATTTAGAGGTGATAATCTCAATGAAAATCCCCCGTCTATCAGGCGCAGGGATGGCCAAAGGCTGGAGTGCAAACTTAAAAGGTGCAAGTGGACTCTGTGGTGCACAGCTTAAAGCACGATACTCTGCAAAGAGACGCTAGTCTGGTTTCAATAAAAGGCAAGGACCTGCTGAGCTGCAGACAGAAGGAGGGGGTCAGGAAAAAAAAGACTATTAAAGTCTGAGAAGGAAGCTTATAGCTTTCACGACATGAAAACCTTCCACAAAATGCCCCACATCCTACATGCACGAGTAAAAAACTAACAGAAAATATTTTAATGATTTTAAAAGAAACCCTATAATTTGATTTCATACATAAACTCTGCAAATTCTGCCTGATAAAAGTGTGAAATTCTAACTCCCCCGTAGCCAAGCAGCTTCTGGCAGGATGTTCGTGACAGGCTGCTGATAATGGGAGTCACCTATCAGAGCCCTCACACGGCCCACCCTCACTCCACTCTGCTCAGCTCAGCTGCATCCATGTGGCGAGAGCTGGGATTGTGGAGCAGATTGCCCTCACCATGATGTCTGGTCGTATGCAGCTCTAACTGTGGCAAAGACGAGTAAATGCCTTTGTGTTCTTTATCTGATCTATGCAGCATTTTTCTGTTTTTGAAGTCTTCTTCAAAGCAGCACCATGTGAGACAGAGTGCCAGTGCACTGATGGAAGCCAGAGAGGGTTTCAGGAGGGCTGCTTTTGTAAAATGTATAATTTCTGATTATTAGAAATGCTAAATGCACTTGTTTTCAAATAAATAACCATTTTTAGTTAATGATAATCAGTTTACACTTTGTCTATTAAATCAAGATGATTATAACTAATGTAGAGATCAGAATAGCCAGAAATTTACCTTTCTAACAATATTTTGGGCAATTCATTTACTGATTTTTAATTCAGATCTGGGTATTGAAGAGGACACAAAACAAGTTACTAATTGGAAATGTCACATTTGATTACAAAAAGGGCACACATTTAAATAGATTTAATTTACTAAAAATAGATTGTCATTTAAAATAAAACCACTACATCTATTTTTTCATTCTTTTTATAATAAAATGACTTTAGGGTTGGTTTCCAAAAACAATATTTGTGCATTTAGTGAATTTAAAAATAATAATATATTTAGATACATAATTTTAATAAATGTTTGTAAATATTGATGTGTGAACAAATGAATGAATGATGAATAAAAATTCTGATTTTTAACAACGGGTAAGAAAATGCGTAATTACATCATCACTGATGCTACAAGTGAACAACACAAAAGTAGATAAAAATAAATAACAAAAATAAAAAAACACGCTTGAAATCTCATTAAACTTCAATAATATTAAATCAACCTGAAAAGATGAATTATTTTAAACAAAAACAATAAAACTTAGAGGTCCTTCAAAATAAAACAACATAATTCCGAAATATTTAGTACCAAATTTTAATATTTCTAAGTGAAATTAAATGTAATTAAATTTTTAAGTAAATCAATTGTTATTTTTACATGAATATGACACGAAAATATTCGTGGTCGGTCCTATTGCTTCATCCATCCATTTTCTGAACGCGCTTGTCCACGTGGGATCGCGGGGGGGGGGGGGGGGGGTGCCCATCTCCAGCGGTTAATGGGCAATAAGGCGGGGTACACCCTGGACAGAGAGCCTGTCCATCGCAGGGCAACACAGAGACACACAGGACAAACAATCATGCACACACACACTCACACCTAAGAACAATTTGACAGACCAATTAACCTAACAGTCATGTTTTTGGACTGTGGGAGGAAGATGGAGTACCCGGAAAGAACCCACGCATGCCCAGGGAGAACATGCAATCTCCATGCAGAAAGACCCTGGGCCGGGGAGCGAACCCAGGACCTTCTTGCTGCAAGGCAACAGCTCTAGCCCCTATTGCTTCAAACAAGATCAAATATGATAAACAAATAAAAAGTGGATGACAAACCCAAGAAAGAGATTAAACCCCCCATGAACCCACGCCGGTGTACTTCCGCTCCTGCCCAGGTATGCTACAGCCTACTCATAACAACCGGCTATGAATTTGTTTCCCATCAGCTGCGGTGACGCATCAGACGGCGATTGGACATCTCGGTCTGAACTCCTCCCTTATAATAAAGTGTGTGTGAGTGTGTGCGCGCGCGCGTGTCCTTGTTGTAAAACACAGCAACACCGGGCGTCTGCGTAAAAGAGGGCACACTCAACTCTGCGCAATTACGCGGACTCCTATCTGGCACAGGGAGCGAAGTGAGGCGCGTTCTCTCCGCTACTGAGCAGGAAGCAAATGGACTTTTAATCACGCCATCCGGATAATTTCTGAGCGCTTCAATGCAGTTTACGGCGCAGCAGCTGTGATTGTGCTGACTCTTTTGCGTGTGCTCTGAGCACAGCCTTGGTTTATAAATAGACCATTTTTTTCTATTTAAATTACTTTCCTTCTCTAAAATTGGCTCCCGTACAAACAGCCGCGTTGGATCCCTCGGCTTACTGCGAGACTCCGGTGTACAACCCGGATCTCTGCCCTAATATGATAGCCGCGCAGGCAAAGTTGGTTTATCACCTCAACAAATACTACAACGAGAAATGTCAGTCTCGGAAGGCGGCCATCTCCAAAACCATCCGAGAGGTGTGCAAGGTGGTGTCGGATGTCCTGAAGGAGGTGGAGGTGCAGGAACCGCGCTTCATCAGCTCTCTCAGCGAAATGGATAACCGCTTCGAGGGACTGGAGGTGATTTCCCCTACGGAGTTTGAGGTCGTGCTCTATCTGAATCAGATGGGGGTGTTCAACTTCGTGGATGACGGCTCTCTCCCGGGCTGCGCCGTCCTCAAGCTCAGCGACGGCCGCAAGAGGAGCATGTCGCTCTGGGTAGAGTTCATCACAGCCTCCGGGTACCTCTCTGCGCGCAAGATCCGCTCGAGGTTCCAGACGCTGGTGGCGCAGGCTGTAGATAAATGCAGCTACAGAGATGTCGTCAAGATGGTCGCTGACACGAGTGAGGTGAAGCTGCGCATCAGAGACAGATACGTGGTGCAGATCACCCCGGCGTTCAAGTGCACCGGCATCTGGCCGCGGAGCGCAGCGCACTGGCCTCTGCCTCACATCCCCTGGCCCGGACCGAACCGGGTGGCTGAAGTCAAAGCGGAAGGTTTCAATCTTTTATCCAAAGAGTGCTACTCCCTAAACGGGAAGCAGAGCTCGGCAGAGAGCGACGCTTGGGTGCTGCAGTTCGCCGAGGCCGAGAACCGGCTCCTGTTGGGCGGATGCAGGAAGAAGTGTTTGTCTGTGCTGAAAGCGCTACGGGACCGGCACCTGGAGCTTCCCGGACAGCCTCTGAACAACTACCACATGAAGACTTTAGTTTCCTACGAGTGTGAGAAACATCCCAGGGAGTCGGACTGGGACGAAAACTGCCTCGGCGACCGCCTGAACGGGATTCTATTGCAGCTAATCTCGTGTTTGCAGTGCAGGAGGTGCCCGCATTATTTCCTGCCTAATTTAGACCTGTTTCAAGGAAAGCCGCATTCCGCTCTGGAGAACGCAGCCAAACAGACTTGGCGACTGGCAAGAGAAATACTGACCAACCCCAAAAGCTTGGAGAAACTCTGAGGTAACATTTATTAAAAACGAAACCAATGAAAATGCTAGTTTTAAAATCCCTAAACGGACAAAGAAAAACACCCAAGTGTGACTGTCCTCTGTTGTTCAACATGTTTTGGCCTAGCCTGTTTATAAATATTTTTTTATTTACAACTATCCTTTGTGCACCTTTTGAGGGTGTTAACAGGAAATTAGATAAATCATCTTTAAATTATTATATGAAGTTATCAATCTGGGAGGCACTGCAGCAGCCTTACATGCAATTATTTTCTTCAACGCTTTAAAATTAAACCCAATAACAAAATCTGGATTTCAAAATTAAACACACATCTGTACATTTTACTCTGTAAATACACTCATAGATTGTGATTCAAGTGGTCTGAAATTGTGAATGTTGTTCTGTGGCAAGTAAATAGGATCCACTTGTTTAAATCTACTTCTGAAAGTTTTTCTTTTTTCTTTTTTTTCTGGTAGAAACGTTTATTTATATTTGCATCAGTGGTAGTCTGACTCACCTGTTCCAATGAACATTTTATACTTTTTTCTTAAAGTTTACATTTTGAATCTAGGCGTTCGATATTTGTTGCATCGAAAACATTCCATCAGTTTACTTGAATTATTATTTAAATTACTCAAATTATGAGGTTTTTGTCGTCTTTCTATATGAATAAAAAAGAAAATGATAGCATATATATAGTATTATATATTACAATTTATTTGGAAATAATGCACTTGAAATACACTGGATTATAACATCTGTGATTTGATTTATTATTATTATTTCTGTATTTGGTTTAATTTAAAGAGTTAATAAAACCAGCTGTTTTATACTTGTGTCCCATATGACTTTATTAAACTGTCCACCTTGGAAAGAAGCTATAATATAAAACAAAATATGACATGAAATATTTGAGGTATTTAAAAACACAATTACAAACATTTTGAACGGATAAAAGTGTGCAAAACTGAGTGGATTGTTTCTTAATCCAAATCAACCATACAAATTATTTTAATTATGCGTAAAAAGTTATCTCGACTTGCAGAAGGAACTACAACCAGGTGCAAATTACGATTTTTTTAAATGCAGAAATAATGTAGATACGTGAAATTTAAGTAAAATAACCGAAAAAAAGATTTATAAAAAGAAATGCAAGCGCAAAAGGCACATTTAACTCCAGCGTAAAAACGCCCTTCACTTGCTTTGTGCGTAAAAATAAACGCGGCTGATTCACTCCTGCGGGGAGGGTGGGGTCACAAAGGGAGAAAACATGCTAAGAAACTAAATTTTGCCCTCAAACAAAATATTTCCTTTATTATATTTTTATTAAATGCTTTTTCTTGTTTACCTTTGAGTCAGCCCGTTTGAAGGCGGGTTCATCCTCGTCCACTTCAAAATAGATTTCAGAGGTGGTGATGGACAGAGTTCCGCGGGCCACCAGGGCAGGGGCGACAAGCTGGGCCGAGCTGCTCAGAACCACCGGGCCTACAGAGAGGAAGGGTTGGACAGCAACAAAAACGGTTTGTTAATATTTACAAAGATAAATAAAGCGATCAAAGCCGGGAGCTGCAGACGCAGCGGCCTTTATCGCGCGCTCAGACGGCGTTAAAAAACATGAAGGGGGTTTTAACGTTTGTCACCCAATCACAGTTTTCAAAATCAAGTTCGTCTGACGGCCCTTGTTTGCGCAGCAACGCTCAATTATTAGAGATTTATGCAAGTTTTAACAAAATAATCCATTTTACATTATTGTTTCATATAGTTTGGAAAAACTAATTTGGCGGTATAAGTTAAAAAGCAAAACGAGTCCATTGTGTTCAGTTGTGCAATAAAACCACGAATCGTTTTAAATAATCCAGGTTAAATAATGAGAATAGCAATAAAGCTATTTTGAAGAGCAAATATTCCAGTTAAGGCGGATTGTGACACTTTAGTCAGCTGACTTGACCAGATATTTCTCCTCCTCCTCCTCCTCCCCCTCCTGCTGCTGCTCTCAGATCAGTGTCGCTAAGGGACACTGTTACAGTGATTTGTCTGCTCCCATGCTCTGAAATCAGGAAATTTATCGATCCCTTAAACTCCAAGGAGCCACTCATCAATCTTAATCTGCGTTCCTCAGCCAAATACTGGCGATAGTGTTACAGGAACACAAGTGGATTCTGGTTTAAACTCCCTGAGCGTCCCTCCATCGGCGGCACAGTTAAACCATCCTTGGTTCCATTAACGATGATTGTATCTGCTGATGATATCAAGCCAAATACTACAATAACCAGTCATCTCAGAGGGATTTACTGCTTTGCAACCATTAATAACACAATAAAACAAACTCACCTGCAGTAAATAAGACCAATAGCACAAATGCGTGTTTTATGACATTTGCTGCCATTTTTTGTTCCAGTCATACAAGCAAAGCATCATGTAATGGTTATTCCAGCCCCTACAGAATAATTCAATCCATCTTCTACCAGAAATAACACACTTGGGTTTTGTCCCTAAAGAGCCACTGAGAAAAAGCCTGAAGCATTAAGCATCCATTGCTCATGGGCAGGAAGAGGATTAGGCAGTAATCCCCTCAGGGATTCTTCCATAATTAGGCTATATGGTATTAAAATGTTTACATGAGAATAATGAAATTAAGGGCCAGTTCCACAGGATGGAGAGATCTGTGGGATAAAGCAGAGAATAACCCACAGTTGGGGCTTTTTTTTCCCTTCTAATGAGAATGCAAATATTTCAGAAACGACAGGCCGATTAAATGAAGTCTGAAAAGTCTCATTTCGGAAAGACATTTGGGAAAACTGCTGAGAGGATGGATATATTATTATCTGACACAATCTATCATAGGGAAGGTGGTTCACTTGCATTAAAATTTAAATAGTAATGAACTGAAGGCATTTCATCTTCTGAACGAACGCATTTAGACACGTAGGGTTAATTTTTACTCTTAGAAACATGCCACCATTCCAGAGACTTTCAACAGGGTCTTAAAATGGACACAAAAAGATCTAAATTAAAGCAAAAGAAAATGGTTGTGGCTGCTAAGCCACACTTTGGGGTAAACTAACATGCTTCCGGTATGCTGGCAGAACAGCCTAATCTGCAGACAACTCCTCGACGTGGGAAACAGACACGTTTACATTCTTATGTCTTCCACCAGTTTCTGCTGCAGCCCCTGATTTCACTTATAGTATGGGCCAATAATTAATATTAATAAAACAAAACACAAATGTGATGCGGGGCAGGCAAACATCATTTCCAGGGTTTGTGGGGGAGAAGAAGTAATCATAGGTTCAGGGACCACAGCTTGAGCTCATGGGAGCAGGCGCCGCCCCTTTGGCGGCAGCAGCAGCAGGCGCTGACCCGGCTGGTAGGACCGAGGCTGTTGTTGACAAGGATCTCTCATTGAGGCTGTTCATGTCTGAGATCATCTGCAGGACAATTCAAGCATTTCCAAACATAACCTGAATGTTACAGTGGAAGGAAGACCTGGAAACGCATGGAAAATCCCAAAAACTCCATCTTTAAGGTAAATACAAAACACAAAAATTCACCTCAGCATTTGATTTACCAGGCTCTCAGGAGGACACATTCTGTGTGTGTGTGTGTGTGTGTGTGTGTGTGTGTGTGTGTTTGTGTGTGTGTGTGTGTTCTCGTCTTGCTCTTTGGATTGGCTGGTGAAGGGCTCGTCTGACAGGCGAGGAGCGTTTGGCTGCCTGCTGGCTGTGGAACAAGGAGGAGGGGTTAATCTCCTCCTCAGAGATTCATCTGGGAGATTTTAAAGGGGATTTCACTGCTCAGTAGTGCCCCGATTCAGAATCGGCTTCACGTGTTCAGCCATGGGCGTTAACGTAGGCTGCAAACCAACAGGTTCAAATAAAATAGAAAAGCACAAGATTTTCACCTAAATTATTGCATAACTGAATTTGATACGGTGTGAGAAAACCCTTAAATAAACACATTCAGATTTCATAAAAGTACAGTTTTAGTTGAGATACAATAAGAATATTTAAACGAAGAATCAACATCCGGTATTAAGATTATAAATTGTCATTATTCGTAGACACAAACACTTTAATAGTACTTTCTTTTATTTTAGTGGAATATTACCTAAATAGAAAACTAACAACAGAATGTTCCACCGATCACTTAGAAGAGATTTTAGTTGAGTCTAGCTTTTAATTTAGATTAAGTTTGACTGGAAAGTTTGGCTCACAGTCAGAGTGTGACCGTGACAATTTTACAGGATTTAAGACAAAACTGCATAAGTAAGAGCACTGTGTACGAATTCTTTCAAATGGATGTGTTAAGACATTTTAAGAATCACATGGATACAACAAATCAAAGCTGAATTAAGTATTGATCGGTCTGGCTGTGGCTGGGTCATGTGGCCTCGACTTGACATTATTTTCCAGGATGATCCTTTAAAATGTCCTTTCAAACTATACTCTGCTTTTAATGGGGAAATTAAGGGAATTCGAACTTGCAAAGTTTGAGACAAACAAAGCAAAACATTTTCAACAATTTTTAATATTTTGCTGACTGGTCCAGAGCACAACAATGAGACACCGTTACTAACTGGAACTCAAAGTTTAAACAGAATCCAACAGAGAAACGGAGCCTAAACCTTTTACTTTCTCTACCATCCTGAAATGTTGCTTTGCAGTTTGTGACCAGCTGTTCATGATCAATACAAATCCAATGATGTGATCAAGATCAATAAAAAACAGCTTCTGAGGTGATGTTAAACAAGAGCAAATGGAAATGTTGGCATGCCGACGTACCACCAAGGTTGTCCATCTCCTTCTCCTGCAGCAGGCTAACGTTATCATCGTCTCCATCCAGAATCAGTTCAGTCTCTGGGCTCTGACTGGCCACAGATGGGCTTCGGACAACCCCCTTAAGCTTCACCGGCTCGCCTGCCTTTAAACCTGGGGCAACAAATGTGGGAATAGAGACCACAAAATGTGTGTTGCTCTTAAAAGAGGACAGACATGACATTTTTGCATAAGTTATAATAGTTCTGTAGTCAATACCAGACATGTTTATGAAATTTTTTTGTGCTAAATCCCTCTCACATAAATTGATTTCTGCAGTTTTATTCTCAACCTTTTTAGTACTTTCCAGAACGAGCCGTTTTAGGGCTGTGTAACGTTAGGAAAACAAGCTGGAGCTGGCCACGCCCACCCATCACCCACTCAGGTTGCGATAAGCTGAGACTGATTTGTTGGAGTGGAGCCATTGCCCCTCCAGCCTGGAGAGGTGAGAGGTGGTTCTATGCCAATTTCCTCAGTTGTGACATCACGAACTGGGAGTTTTGAAACGGCTTGTTTTAGACATATAACTCCTAAAACCAGACACTGATAGAAAACAGATGAATGGGTTTGTTGTCACATTTGGAGTGTTGATAGAAGCAGAAGAGACCCACATAAGAATGCAACAGATGACTTTTGTATTATATGTCCTCTTTAAAGGTAAGACTGATGCAAGCTACTGTTTCTGAATATACAAGTTCACTGGTTATATTGTAGTTTGCATCATACGCAACAAGTACTATGTTTATATGAGCAGAATATTTTAGCTAGAAGCTCTTTTCTGTAACAGAAATATTTTTGGTATTCTGCCAGATGACTGTTAAAATGCTAATGATCAGAACATGTTTTTTATTAATCAGGTTCAAAGAGTTCAAAAGTCCACCCAGTTTCTGTAAAAATATGTGGAAATCATAAAGGAATCCACACTGCCTTATTAAAAAGATGGGGGGGCATGCCCCCCAGGTTCCCCCCTAATTACAACCCTGCTGGGAGCCCACACCAGCCTAATAACTGGACCCCAATAGCTAAATCATTAGGCCATTACAATAAATCAGGTTTTCTAGATGTATTTTCCTGCATTTGGTGTGTGTGTGGTGTGTGCGTATACATTTTCTTAGTCAAAATTAATATAAGTTGCTTCCTTTAATATTAAACTAGTAGTGTTACACTATTTTTGGCCCACACCTGTAAAATATTTTTGTAAGAACCATGACAATAAATGAAGCTGTTAAAACCCTCAATAATTCACCTAAACATTTTAAAATGACAACAACCTTTTCTTTGACAAAATCATATCACTTTTCCCATCCTGCCACTCTGGCAGTTTCTACTGACACAACTCAGCAAATTTCTATGTTTTACAATATTTCCATATTTGAGCAGAGGCAACTGAATAATAAAATGCATGGGAGATGTTTTCCACTGAATTGCAATAAGAGCAAAAAAGCTAAAATGCATAAAAAATATTTAGAAATCAGCAGCAAAAGAAATGTTTGTTTACAACCCCTAAAATGGTACATCGTGGGAAATAACTGGATAAAGTGCTAGCATAAGATTATATATGTTGTGAATAAAAGTCATTTTCATACAAATCCATTTGACGGATAGATTCTGAGTAGTTGAACATCAGAAGTGTTTGGGCTTTTATTTTTTCAGCACATTCTTTGTCTGAACATGACCAAATGCTGAATTACATTTCAAGCTCAGAGCAGATTAGATAAATCATTAGCTGCTTTAGGACAGTGGGCCTGAACGGACATAATGAGGAGGCTGTTTATAGCAGGACTTCATGTAGCTATAGTAGACGATGATCACTGAAAAAGATGCATTCATACAAGCTAGAAAAGAGAAAACAAGACAAAACATTTATCAGCTCATCTTTTAAATGTGCAGCTTTCTGAGGATCGAAGTAAGAAATTACCAGAGGAGAAATTTGCATGCGCAAAAAAGGAAGACCACAAATCAAGGTAGGGGAGGTGGCTGACATCTGCCTGACATGTTTCCTTTCACCACAGCTCTTAATTCACCTTTCCCTCCCCAGAGGAACATGTACCTCGTCTTGAAGAGGTCACATTTGACTGTTGTCAACACTGCTACTGGAGAGAGAGCGAGAAAGAAAAGCTGCTTCCTGCTCTGTCTCGTATCTGGTGAGCTTTCATCAGACGAGGGGAAGAAGTTGGAGCGTTTCGGAAATGAATTCTGTGCAATGTTACAGGGAAAAGCCAGCCAGTGGTCAGAAATCAAAGCAGGAGGAGTGAAACTTAAAACTGTGTTTCTGTAAACCATCATTACGCTCCGAGTAAATGAGGGGAAAAGTCAGCAGACAGGGCTGCACGGCGGTTCTGGACGACCAAATAAACAACACTGATTTCAGCATGCAAATGACCTGCTTTTACCAAGGGTTCTCTCTCCCCCCCCTTGAGTGTGAGTGTGTGTGTGCACGCGTGCATGCATGCAAGTGTGTAAAATAAACACTTTATAACTGAAATCAGCTTTTTTTTCACAATTTAGCTCTAAGAAACTGTAATTTACTTACAAATAAATGAAAACAATAAAGACCAAGACAAAGAACATGAAGTCCTCCTGCCTCGGAGATCCTGTTGTAAACGTTGCTGTGAAGACTTGCTCTTTATCACTATTACAGAGTCATCATGTAACATTGTTTTGTGAGACTGATTATAAAGTTTCCATGTGTTCACAACATCTTCATAACAGGAGACAGTGTCTTTAAAAGATTCAAACAATTTTTTAAATGGGCTTTTATCTGGTAGATTTGACCATTAAAATACAAAATATTACTTAGGGTTGCAAATATAATACACAAAAGATAAAATGATTTGTTTTTAATTATGTGGATTTTGCAAACCTAAATATAACAAAAATGTACGTAAAAGTGACAGTGTGTATTTTCCTGGCGATAGGGGGCAGTACATACATACATTTCAGGGTAGCTTACACCCTATCGCTGTGACTGTCGCTAGTTTAAAAAAGAAACATTATGGTAAATGCTACCTGTGGAGCAGAGAGCATGCAACCTTGGCGTGACTCCTCAAACTTTGATGGTCCTTCAGTTGATCCCATCGAGAGAATGCAATGCTGATGCTAGGTTTCTGGCGTTGTAGTTTCCAGATCTACTCAGGGTCTTGAGTCTGCCGATAACATCACACTACGGCAATACCACTCAGCCAAAATACGATTCAGTATTCAATTCAGTTCTTCCACATAGGTTTTGGAAAGAGTTTAGCAGTTCTGTTGTTAAATTCGTGTTTCTTGCTGCTTAAATGTTTTCTTCATAACTCATTTGTTAAACACCATCTTGTCTTTGTTTTTTACAGAATGTGAAACTAAATCAACCCACCGTCAGACTGTGCCAGAAAGCACAACAGTTCTTATTTGTGAAAATGTGTAAATGTATTTACATAATTAGCAGCTCTTTCCAGTTGTATAAATGTGGAATTCTGTATATTTTGTTAGTTCCTATGTGAATCTATCCTTTCATTTAAAATGTTGTGCATTTATTTGTTCTATGAAGTTCTTTTAAAATTTGCCCCATTTGATCAAAATCAAAGCTGCTGAGGGTCTCCGTTTATCAACTGATATTGTTGCTTTTATTTAACATTTCCTTTGGCAATATGAACACCCCCCCCCCCCCCCCCCCAATTTAGTATTTATTATTTTAACTACAGGAACTGCAAAAACTGCAATTGCAAATGTGCCTGGACCAATCAAAATCTTCTGTGTCAACGTGCTAACGTAACTTTTACAAACATGGTGTGACATCATCGGAAGGCGCAAGACCCCGAGCCGGCTGACGTAAAACATAGTGTCTGATATGGTGTCCCCCAGAGACTTAAGTATTTTAGACCCAATTTTATGGTTACATGTTACAAAGCCGCCGATATTTTTCAACAACATTTTGAAGGATACACCATGTCACTTTAATCAACAGGTAAAAACGTGTTTTAGCACTGAAATACAACCAAACTAAACCAACTGCTATAAAACTGTAAAATTGAAGCTAAAACAGCAACAGATAAAAAGTTTTGCTCCAGGGCTTCTCGGTGTGACAACAGTTTTATTTCAAGTTTGCCATCAAGCTCTTCAAGAAGTGTTGCCAGGAGAAGCCACCGATCACCAGTCTCCTGGGTCCTCTTGTTCAATCACTGAGCTGAAACTGCCTCAGAGTGCACTAATTACACTCCATGAAGTGCACTGCAGAGCTTTCATGACCTCATTGAAGGCTGATGAAGATCTGCTGGCTGTCACCGATGGAGGATGACTTTGAGCGCTCTCCGCTGTGGTTCACTTGGAACGTACAGTCTCAAGTTCTTTCCAGGGCATCCAGGAGCCGCCGGCTGTCACAGTTTTCTTTAAAATGTAATAAAGACGTTGATCATGGAAGCAATGTAAATGCTACTGATTTTTTGCTTCATTCTGAAGTCAGCGAGGCCACACAAACAGACTTGTTATAGACAAGCTATAAGATGCACGAGTGTAAGAATAGAATTGATGAAAGGCTGAGTGTATGTAGATGTGGGGAAAGTTCATCACTCAAACAATGAAACTACTCTTTCAGAGTAAATCTCAAATATATTTGGGATTTTTTATTTTTTTACTCTAAAGGGCATTGTGTGAATAAATTCAAAACCTCAGAAATTCCACAAATGTCTTGGTGAAGGTTATAAAATGAAAAAACCCAAAACTTACTTTGTGATTTTCACTAAGAAACACATTAAAACTACTGTCAGTTAACCCAGGTGTGCTGCAGAAATACAAAGTAAATCTTGATTTTCTTTATAATAAATAAAATAGTATGCACACAGATCAATCAAAATACACTGTTGCTTTACTAAGGTATCTTCTGGCCTATTAAAATTCCTTTTTTGGGGAATTCTGACTGGAAAGTGGAAAATACACGTACAATTCAATAACTGATGCTCTGTTGATGCGGTTTTGCACAAATCTTCTCAGGGGCCTAGAGTGACCGACCTGGGACTGGGAGATTGGGGTTCAAAACCCAGTCGGGTTATACCAAAGACTTTAAAAATGGGACCCAATGCCTCCCCGCTTGACACTCAACTTTAGGGGTTGGACTGGGAGGTTAAACCACCAAATAA